TGTTATCAAATGATTTCGATGGTATTTTTGAAGAATTTTTTTTTGACTCATAATGCTTTGTTTTGAGCATTTTCTGATTTGGAGTGTGTGCGCATGTTTCTTGTCCTTTTTCTTTGTTGTTGTTTGTCATGTTTTATTGTTTTTGTTTGTTTTGGTTTTGCCTGTTTTCTAAAGAGTGAGAGAAAGAAGATATACATTTTGGATGGGTGGGGATAAGGAGGAACTAGGAAGAGATGAAGGAGAAGAAATTATGATTAGAAAATACTATATGGAAATACTATTTTGAATTTAAAAGACAGAAATTGGCTCTTCAATATAAGGAATGCCAAGTATCTGGAAGGCAAGGCAGAAGACACATCCAGGTGAAAGCAGGAGGAGCTTCTGCAGCTCTCCTAGACCACAGGACAACTGTGATTACAGGAGTGGAGACCAAAGGACAAGCCAGAATGTGAAGAAAATGATCTTTAAAATGACACAGCCACTGAAAGACTTAGAATTATACATATCCACTGAACAGCTGAGATGAGAAAGTGTTCATCACATACAACACAGACCAGTACTTCTACCAACAAAGAAAAATTAGATAAAGAAACACAAAAGTGTGGACAAAATTAACAAAAATTTATATAGAAACTTCTGGAGAAAGTGAAATTGATTCAAGATCTATAATTGGTAAAAACATGGAAAGATACCATGATGAAGACTGTAAGTCATATCTACAGGTATATTCACAGGTGAACAAAACCTTGACTTCTCAGGTGTCTGGGTTCTCACCCCACGATGCGATCCTCTATCTACCAGCAATTCACCCCATGCTGTGTACTCATCCCAATCTCTATGCTACTTTCTGCAGCTTATATGTCACTCATTCTAGAGACCCCATGAAAAGTCTTTAGCATTTAATCCCTTAGCTAGATTAATATCCTCTCTCCACAAAAAGGTAATTAATTACCTGTTTACTGCCATATGCTCAAAGTTAAGAATAATTTGATATAGAACATAATAAATACTGAATCAATTAATAGATAAGGAAACTGAGGGTGAAAGATGTAAAAGTGCTTGGTAATACCCAATATTATAAATATCCAAAATTAAAAAATAAAAATAAATAAAAAATAAAAATAAATAAATAAATATCCACATATTAACCAAAATATCCATGTTTACCACTGTCTAATGTTTTTATGATAAAGAATACTGTCCCTTGAAAATATATCTCCATACTTGTGTTCTATTAAGTGTTACCTGATTTTTCCATTCTGAATTAGTACACAGATGGGGTCAGCCAAGCAATATAAATAAGCATCCCTGAAACATTACTTTTGATTAGGATACCATTCTGGAAAACCATTAACCTTTTAATCTATATTTTAAGTCTTCCAGTCCATTAATGCAAGCTCAGCTATCACAAATAGTCACAAAGTAACCTACTCATCATTCTTGTCTCCTCAATTTGTTTTACCTTATAAATCATTCATTCTTTTTATTTCTTTCATTGAAAGTAGATGTTTTTCATACAATATACTCTGATCACAGTTTCCTTTCCCCAGCATCTCTGAGAATCCCCCAACCACCTCTCCCATGGGACTCTACACCCTTTTCTGTCTTCTTAGAAAACAAACAGGCTTCTAGAGAATAACAATAAACAAGATGAAAAACAAACCAGAATGACAACAAACAGAAGGGAAAGAACCCCCACAAGAAGCATGAGAAACACACATAGATGCAGAGGTACACATGGTCTTATGCAGAGGAGTCTCCTAAAATTGCAAACCAGAAATCATAATATATACACTACAGACATGTGAGGTGAAAACAAAACAAAACGTCCCTGTCAAAACCTCATGAGAGAAAGAACATCCAAATACGACACTGAGTTTGTTTTGTGCTGGCCCTCTACTGCTGGACATGGGGCCTGGCCTTAAGAGCTGTTTGCATCTCCAGTGAAACTCTGCTGAAGAACTGATTTCTCCTTTGTGAGCACTTGTCAATTAGACAGAGCTTCTGGGCTAGAGCTTATGTCTACTTTTCCTCTCAGTGTTGGGAATCCGTCTGATTCAGAAGTTAGCACATGTCGGGCAGTGGTGGCGCACGCCTTCAATCCCAGCACTTGGGAGGCAGAGACAGGCGGATTTCTGAGTTCGAGGCCAGCCTGGTCTACAAACTGAGTTACAGGATAGCCAGGGCTATACAGAGAAACCCTGTCTCGAAAAACCAAACCAAAAAAAAAAAAAAAAGAAGTTAGCACATCCTGTGTACACTGCCACAGTCTGTAAGTTCATGTGCATGTTGGTGTCACTGTGGGGTGTCCTCTATTCTTTCTGTCTCCTACATCATTCTACTTCCTCTTCCACAGGGCCCTCTGAATCCTGTGGAGAGGGACTTGATGGAGATATCCCACTTAACACTGAGAGTTCCAAGGCCTATCACTGTCCACACATTGCCCAGCTGTGAGTATCTTTCTTTGTTTTGATCTATGGTAGGAAAACGTTTCTCTGATGATGGCTGGGCAAGCGCTGATCTATGAGTAAAACAGAAGGTTGTTAGCAGTCATTTTACGGCTACATTCCTTTAGCAGAACAGACATATACGGTTATCTTCTAGATCCATCAGCTATTTGGTCTCTGGTTCTTGGCCACCAATCTTGGGTTCCATCTTAGGGAGTAGGGCTTAAATCCAATCAGATATTGGTCAGTCATTGGTGTGCCAGTGCTGTACTAGCACATCTTGCAGGCAAGTCATCACTGTAGCTCAGAAGACTTCATAGCTCGATTGGTGTTCACTCTTCTCCTTCGATAACTTGAAGAGTACATTATGGTACCATTAACCCTAGCCCATAGGGGTGAAGGCTCTAGGTAAGCATATAGATGATCTATATGTTCAATACTAGTATAGGTCTTGCTTTCAGCAATATGGCCTTGCTGTCAGTTTCTGAAGAGCAATCAATAGCCTGGCAAAACTCAAGAGTAGTACGGGATTTTCATAGGACCCCTTAGGCCAAACACTGAATGAGATGTAACCCATTAGCAGCACATTTGACAATTTTATTTAGATCACCTTTATACATGTATACATTTTAGGAGGATTCTACCATACTATTGTATTAGTTTTCTATATGATCACTCAAATGGTCATTAGTTTTAGCTGTTCTTTCCCTTATAACCTCCCTTACCACTCTCTTCTTCCCTGCCCCTCATTCCCCAATTCCCTTCCTCTACATATGTAACTTCTGTAGGTATGCAAGTCATAGCTTACCTAAGACTTAACAGTTAACATCCACATATAAGTGAATACATACTATTTTTTTTTATCTTTCTAGATCTGAGTTACCTCTCTTGATATAGTTTCTTCTAGATTCATCTATTGACCTGCCAATTTCATGGCTTTGTTTTTATAACAGAGGGGTAATAGTCCATTATATGATGTACCACTTTTCTTTATCCATTCATCTGCTGAGGAAGATCTAGGCTGATTCCAGTTTCTGGCTTTTATTACTAGACCAGGAATGAACATGGTTGAGCAAGTGTCTCTGTAGCAGAACGAAGCATATTTGGGTATATGTCCAAGAGTGGCATAGCTGGATCTTTGGGATAGATCAATTCCCAGCTTCCTGAGGAACCACCACACTGGCTTACAAAGCGGCTATATAAATTTGTATTTCCACCAGCAAGTAGTGAGTGTTCCCCATGAGGTATCATTTGTTTTATTTATCTTAGTTGTTCTAACTGATAGAAGATGAAATTCCCAAATAGTTTTGATTTGCATCTCCTGATGATTAAGGATACTAAACATTTCTTTGCAAATTTCTCAGCCATTTGTGTTTCTAATTTTGAGAATTCTCTTTAGTTCTGCAAACTATTTTTAAAATTGGGATGTTTTCTTTTTAAATTATCTTTAATCATTTTTCTACACTTCAGTTTTTTTAAGACTTCAAACGTATTAGATATAAGTGCTCTATCAGATATGTGGCTGATACAATCATTCCCTATTCTGCAGCTTAAGGCTTTGTCTGTATGATGGCATCCTTTGCAAACAGAAACTTTTCAGTTTCATGAGGCCTTATTTATAAATTGTCATTCATAGTACTACGCTATCAGTGTTCTGTTCACAAAGCCTTTTCTTGTATCAATGGGTTCAAGAATATTTACCATTTTATATTCTAACAGGTTCAGTATATCTGACCTTACATTGAGGTCTTGGATACATTTAGAGTTGAATTTTGTGCAGAGTGATAAGTATGGATCTTTTTGGATTCTTCTATATGTAGTTATCCAATTTGGCCAGGGTGTATTTCTGGATTCAGTATCAAAAATCAGGGGTGTGGACTTACGTGTGGTTCTTCAATTTGATCCCAATGATTATCATGTGCTTCTATGCCAATACTGTGTTGTTTTTATTATCAGTGCTCCGTATGCAATTTGAGATGGGGAAGGTGATACCTTCAGGAGCTCTTTTGTTTGTTACAACATTGCTATCTTCACATTTCTATACTGCCACTGCTTTTCTTTCATATCAGTAATTGTTCATTTTTAGGATTCTTCTATTTCTGCTTTTTAAGTGAAAATCATACCTGCTGATACCCCAACCAATTTCTCATAAAATCATAACACAAAGTAATCTTGTGCCCCTCCTCATAGCCAGACTATGACATTAAGAGAAAAAGAAAACACAGACATAAAATTCTTAAAAAATGATTCTAAAAGCAAAAATTTAAAGGAAGTTATAAATAATTTTGGCTTCTTATACTACAAATAAAAATTATCAGTTTATATTTGCTACACCCAGATACAATTATTGAAAATGGAAACCAGAACCTCATCAGTGTAACCATGAAAATTATAAAATGGCCACAGGTTGGTATAATTTTAATAATCAATAGCTAAAAGTACTAAAATATTGCTGATTCAAAAACAATAAAAACAGAATCCAAAGAATCAGTTTGTATAGAAAAACAAAAGAATATTTTAAAGTAAAATATAAATGGATATAAAATAAATTACCTTCCTTCATTGACAAGTTCAATAAAAGCAAGGCCTGCATTCTTCTGAATAGAATTCTGCCACTCCTAAGAAAACAACAAGAAATAGCTTAGGAAATTATGCTTAGGTTAGTTCCTTAACATCACAACAAAACAGCATCCATATCTATTTCAGTTCTCTTTAGGAATGAAAGGAACAGTAATGCCAAACCTACTGCTGACTCAACACAACCCTGCGAACACAGACACACTGAAAGAGAAAGTCTCATTTAAATAAGTGAACACCTGCCTCAGTGTAAACCAAAAGAGCCAGTCCTTATTTTCCCTGCCACTGTTGTGTCACACTGTTTCATTCTAACTAAATGGATATAACCTAGAGTTACATCAACATCAGCAGAAAATATTACAAACAAATAATTTTTAAAAGATAATCCACAATGAAGAAAGAATTAAGTAGTATAAAAATTTTAATAACTAGAGTATACTCCAGCAAAAATGTCTGCTAATAACATAGAGAACATGAGTTGGAATAAATCAGTTATACTGAAAACTAAATTTACTGGCAGATAACCTAGCAATAAGTGGTATAAATTTCCTACTATATTCATTAACCATTAAAAATTTATATGTTAACTTTATCCACTAAAATGCTGTCCATTAAAAAGTCTAGGAAGAAAATCAATCAGTAGAGTATGTTCAAATGAATTCTTTTATACTAACTCTCAACATTTATATAAAATAAGCATTAATACAATAAGGTCATTATGAGCTGGTTGCTATCTGTCCATCTTGCTCTATGTATCTTTATAAACTTGCACACATACCCCTTTTCTTTAATACTTCATCCTTGTATTATAGTTACATGTTCTTTTTTTTTCCTTAAAATCCAAAGTGAAAGTCTATACTCAGCTGCTGGCCACTGCTCATCATTACCCAAATAACAGTTGTGAATGTAGTACATTGTAGAGTTTTAAATTCTATGTAATTCCAAGTTAATGACATACGGATGTGTGTACATTTCTCTTCTATTTTTATTTTTTGTAACCACATTTGTTTGACTTTCATTGTCTTTTAAAAAGCCCAAGAAAGCTGTAAAAACTAAGATAGCATGCCATGGTTGCGCTGAATGATTCCACTTTCCCAATAGTGAACATGTTATCATATTGGTAAATACACGTAGTACAATGAAAATTAAATTAAAAAGCAGTTAAACATGCAAAGGAATCCAATAACTAGATCTTCCAAATTGGGGGTAGGGGAGGGGAAGAACAATGTATTATTAAGAAAAGAAAAAGGCATTAAAAACATTTTTCATCCTGACACAAAGAGGAAATGTCCTTAGAAGTTTTACACTGTATTTTGTCACAACAAACACAACTTAAAAATACTTCTATTCCAGGTATTATTTATTCTAACCCTTGTTAACATTTAGGAATCAGTGAAAAAGAAATCTATAGCATAGTTGCTCAAGTCATAGTTGCCAAGCAACAGAATATGTAAACCCTAAATTCCTTTCACTAATATAAATGAAATCAAGTATAAAACAGATATTTCAATTTAACTTAAAACCCTTAGTTCTAGGGCAAATGATGTTAACAAATATGTGGACCAACTGAAAACAATCAAATTCAATAAAAGAATTTATCCTGAAAAAGGAAAAACAGAATACCCACATTTCTTCTCACAGGAGTAGCAAGAAAATGATGGTAGGCAGAAATTATAGAGAAGTCCTTTGACCCAGAGTAGATGCTCCTATACTTCACTTTCACTGAACATAGAACCATGATAGTCAAACTGAATCTACAACTAATCTCAAAGTTGTTTTATGTTTGCATCTTGTATTCAAATTCATATTATATTATTCAAAAGTGTACTAAAAAAGTATTTATTATATAATTCAAATTTCATATTAAAACATAAGCATACTCTTCTCTGTATTTTAAATAAGCTGGTAAACTTTATTTTGATTTTACTTTTACCAACATGAATTGTTACCATAAAATGCTCCATTTAAATTCCTGAAAAAATTTAAGTAGCATTAATGAAGTTAGACTGAAAATATGTTAAAATTAGTACTTAAAACTGAAAAAAAAAATCACCAATTAAAATATACAGTGTCAGCCAGGCAGTGGTGGCGCACACCTTTAACCGCAGCACTTGGGAGGCAGAGGCAGGTGGATTTCTGAGTTCGAGGCCAACCTGGTCTACAGAGTGAGTTCCAGGACAGCCAGGGCTATACAGAGAAACCCTGTCTCAAAAAACAAAACAAACAAAAAAATACAGTGTCCTAAATGCAGTTGACATGTCAAATAAAATACTTTTCTTTTAAATTAAAAATAAATCAGATCAAGAATTGACTAAAATAATACATAGTCTTAAAGACCTTTAAAAATAACTTGATGTGTAGGTTTCTAACTAAATAAAAAAATACACAAAAACATAAATTTTTAATGATATTACTTATAAAACTACTAAAATAAAACCTATTAAATATTATCTTCAAAATAATTTTTTCAAGAACAGAAAATACAAGTTAGACAAGAAGGTACATAAGACAACTAAGAGAATTACAATTTTTGCTGATGTTCAAAAAGATCAAATTTATCACAGGACTTCTTGTTCATACAGAGAGCTCTACAAACCCTTTTTTGTTTGTTGTTTTGGTTAAGTAAAAGGAATAATATAGTAAGTAACAGAGAATTCTGTCCAGAATTAACAATGCTTATGAGAAAAAAGTTGAAGCCTAAGAGAAAACATCCTTTGATTGTTTTTTTGATAATCATAATGTTCAAAGCCCACACATTTTCTGTATAATAAAACACTCTCTACAGTAATTTGTGGAAGTTGCCAAAACTAAAAAGAATATTCATTAATCATGCTGTTTGAAGACATTTTTCTCCACTCAGAAACAATTATCAACAAGGCGTTAGTCTAAACAATTTTATAAACCACAGCTCAATATAACCTTTAGTGAGTTTTAATAGTTGAGAAAAAAGCTTAATGGTCATCATCTTTCATGATCATTTCAATATTTCATCACAGTATTTACAATTATATAGTGATGCAAAAATGCATAGTACATTTAAAGGTCTTGGTTATCCTTTCCCCAGAGGTCCTGATGAAAACACGTTAAAAGCCTCAAATCCAACCACTAATGCAAGTAAGTAATTTCAAAGCACACTTCAGCACTTTCAAGAGGAAGAACTAAAAAAGCAGCAGGGTCAATAATTTCATACCTGTGCCTAAGCTATATTTAATTGATTATCACATCCAAGGACCATAACTGTTGCCTAATCAATTTGTACTACGATACAATCTTTAGGTTACAAATGTCTGAAGTCATGCAGACACAACAAATATGAGCATATGCATGATGACTACCACTCCGCAAATGTCAAGCATGTGTTTTGGTAGAAAAGGTTTTCCTAACAGAGAAAAAAAGGAAAACCTTTACTAATGATATTACATTAATTCTTCTCTATGTTCCTCAAATAAACATTGAGAAAAATAAACCAACATATTGCTTATTTATTTAAATTAATTTAAAACTTCCTGATAAACTACAGTTTTCTTTTAAAAAAAACCATATAATATATTTCTTGAAGTATACTACATGTCTTTACCTATATTTCACAGGTAAAAAAGTTTAAAAGATAAGAGTAATTTCTAAAAATTAACATATTCAAAAGCACATAAATTCAGGACATATTTTGATAAGATTCACTACATGTAATTTTTCCTATCACTTTCTTTTCAGAAATCATCAGTTTTGATAATCACTGTAGTAACTTCTTATTTTGTGACCTAACGTATTTCTAAATTATATTTTAATTTTTTGAGTAATTTTTATGATGACTAACAAGCTAAGCATTTTATAGACTTTTTAGAAGCTGGCTATCTGCTCTTGAAATATGTCTATTCAAATAATTTGTGAATTTAATTTTGGTTTTAGACTTTCTGTTTTGCTGACACTGGGTTTCCTGTAGCCCAGTTTGGCACCAAACATGCTATCTAATCAAAGCCAGCTTGGAACTCCTCATCCTCCTGCCTTCACCTTCCAGGTGCTGGGATTATTAAAGTATTCTTAGATGATTTTTGCTTTTATGCTTCTAGTTGCTGCTCAGTTTCCTGCAGTTTGTTATACATTCAAAATACTAACCTATTATATAATAATAGATTTGAAAACATTGTCTCTCAGTACATATGCCGCTTCTTTACCCTTCGCTGTTCATCTTGACAACAGGAGGCTCTGCAATTTGAAATAAATGTATTTCTCTATTTTTTCTTTTTATTGGTTAACTGAACTGTTATTCTCCCCCAGAAAAGCAATGAACAAAAATATCAAAGTATCTCTGCTATAGTCTCTAATGGAAAAATACTAGTTGCAATTATTTTATGTAGGTCCTGAGTCCATTTTGAGTGGGATTTTTTTTACATCTTGCAAAACAGATGTCTAGCTGAATCTGTCTGGAAACTAATATGCACCTGGTATTAAATACTGGCCAAAAAGTCTTCACCAATATATTGTTGGTAAAAATCAGTTCGCTATAACTATGTGGTGACTCTTCTCTGTTTCACTGATATTTGTATTCATTTTTAAGTCAAGTCTAGTTTGAGACAAGCTTTAACACGATGAGCAGGAATAAAAGTATTCCCAGGACAAAAGGGGCTAGCCTGATCAAGCTATATATGTCACTCCTGAGGTTTGACTAAAATGGAAATACTGACCTCAAGCCATGGATAATTTTATCAGCATTATCTGCAGCATCAAAGCTCAACAGAGCAGCATTCTTTAAATTCATAATCTCACCTTGCAAAGTTAAAACATCCAGAGAGGTGTTAGAATTATGCCAAATACCCTACAGGTATCTTTAAATTTTTTTCTAATTATAACAACTATCATTTTAAATTTTAGAAGTAACACCATTCCAATAGTATTTGTCATGACACTCGAGATGGCTCCTAACTCTTAAATCCTGAATCTCCTTCCGATAATTTGAATAGGATATAGAGCATCAATTCATTGTTCCAAACATCTACATAAATCCTCTTGTATACTGAACACATTAGTTACATTTTTTTGCTTG